ATGTTGCATGAATGCACACAGAGACACATGTATAAAACTCTCATTGACCAAACCACTTTGCTAAATTCACTCAGGTGCTTCATGGAAATATGCAGAATGCCATAGATTTTTTTTAAATTAATTTGGACTGCAACCCCCTCACTTCTCATTCTCAAGGAGGAAGTGGAATGACTTGAGATTCTCCACTCAAAAGGAAAAAAGACTCTCCAACTCTTGACATCATCTACATTTTGCAACAGAAAGAGAGTGAGGCCAGGATACATACCAACTATGGATCCTCTTGAATCCTCCTGTAAATATGAAAAGGAGTCACTATGAAGATCAAGCCATGCTCTGTCCCGTGTGCTCAAATCTTTTGTTTACTTGGTGACATTAAAAAATCCACTGAGAATGTGGGCAAATCAAGGGAACACATAGCAAATGCACTCTCACCTAATGACACAAGCTTTTCTAGGAGATTTGTGTCACAGGTCTATATTAGGTAATAATTAAGGAATTTGATGGCCAGGAGGGAAAACCACAGCCAGGCACAAAGCTTGATATCATACAGTGTGCAGTTGATACTGTTTCTTGTTAATGTTGCCTTCAGTGAGGTCTCATTTGGCAACAGACACCCCGGTGAGAATCTGCACACTCAGGAAATTGTTTATATCATCTCAAGGAAACCATATCATATTACAAGAGAAAGAGAAACTAAAGAGCAACACTTGGATTTCAGAGGAAGATAAGCAACCTTACCATGGCTTTTGATGGGGTCTCTCGACTCATGCTTTCTTCAGGAATGAACTCCACCATGTCATTTGGGGGAAATAGGAGGATGCAGAATAATGATTAGTGCACTGATTTATTGCTTATTAATAGTTCAGGGCATTTCTTGATATGGACATCAGTGAAAATATACAGCAAAGATAAGAAGAAGAGTGAATGAGAAGCACAGCCTTTGGGTTTCTAGTAGATTGGAACCAGGTGTGATATGTGTGTTTCTTATTTTGTACTTTTAGAGGTATGTTTGTCTCTAGAGGTGACAACTGAGGACACTTTAAAAGTATGCAAAATATTTCACATCTCTGTAGGAGATTAGTTATTACTAATATATTGTAATCACCTGCAATGTGTTATATCACTAAGTGATGTATACAGTTCCCTATTAGAAAGCATCACCATCAGGATAATTTCCTGAATTCTTAAAGCTTCTTTCACTTACAGAGTGAAGAACCTGTACTTTTGGCTCAGCAACATCTCTATCTAGAGAGAGGGCCTAGAAACCACAACTTTACATTTGGGTGTCATGAAGTGGAAAGAAATTATATCAAACAAATCATGCATTAGTGTGGGTTTTTATTTTTAGAAAATGGATGCTTGTTCTGGGCATGTTAGAAGAGAATTTCTGAAGAAGGTCTCATAGCCTCACAAACACATACACAATTATTACACATGGACATGCTCAGAGATACCACCCCATGC